TCTTTTCGTTAACTCTCTGCTAATCTGATCCCTGATTTGAGCTCTAATTAAGTGCTCATTGCCTCGGGTTTTGTTCGGTCTTCTGGACATCAACTGACGCATGGATTGGGAACCGATTGACTGACTCATGCGATCGGTATCTGGTTTTTAATACAACAAAAAGTTTTTTAATTAAAAGTGTCTTTAAATTGAATGATAGCTACAAATGACTTACGGTTTGCGAGAAAATCATTGAACACCTGTAAGTGGTTTTGCATTAAAATGAAACAACTCTTCGTGTCCTTCAATACATTGATCTCTAGTGTCAACGACTCGAGTCTTAAGCGGTGATCAAAACCGCTGCAAACGTGTCCAACATTTCGCAGATCTGTTAAATAGTTTTCGCATTTCCTTGAAATCAATTGATATCTCATGAGATCTGTTGACAAACAATTGACTTCGCGTTTCAACGCATATATCGTTGAATACAACTGCCGGCGCCTCAGTCCGGACAACACATCACCACTAATTGATCCCATGATTAGTCACGTGAACATTACAAACATATTTAAAACACAGATTTGATTGTAATTACGGTTTAAATACCGAAACCAAACGAAATGTAAACACGTTTTAAGCGCTCAATGTTTGCGTGAAAAACCATTTCATATAAAACGTCCACAAAAATAGGTTTCAAAACTTTGTTTCAAACTTTTATATTCAGGATTTAAATCACAATTACCATAACAACTGGATGTAAAAGTGACTGAATTAAACGTAATCAAAGTTAAACGGGTGATTTATAATACATATATTGGCTATCATATGAATTTGTTTCATATAAAATAGATATTCTGATCGTAAGCAAGGTAATGTTCTTAAGTTTAGAAAATTTTATTTATTAATTCAATTCAATAAAATCAATGAATAAAATGCAATTAATTTAATAATAAAATCAAACGATAAATGAATGAAAACACATATTAAATAACTTTAATACAAATAAAACACAACTCATAAGACATTTCATAAACCAATCACTTCTTCGGACTCTTCACACGTCTGTCCATAAGATTGCATTCATTTGTCTTACGTTTGGACACGACTTGAGATCCATTCTGATGAGTGTTTAAGACATGTCTCTCAAGTGTACCCTTTTTTGAGGTCCTGTACTCACATCCTGGCCAATGACACGGATGACTACCTACTGGGAGGCCCTTTTGTCTCCTCTGGTGATCCCTTTCGTGGCCCCAGAGGTATGATTTAACTAAGAATGTCTTCTCACAGCCGGGCCAATGGCACCGGTAGAC